CTTCTTCTTCAGCTCATGGCCAGCATCAAGGCGCACCGACTTCCATGACGGTCTTTTCGCCTACTCTTCTGCCGCCACACTCCTCAGTATCACCATCATCGTCGTCATCGTCGTCTAAGCGAACGATTACGCCTCCGCATAGTTCACATCGCGTGTCGTCTTCGGGAACGGTGCAGATTGTTTCCCCTGGTGCGACGTCGTCTGGCATGGCGGCGTCGTTTCCGGGGGTTTGGCCGTCGTCACCTTTGGGAAGGGTGGGCGAGGAAGGGGTTGTTGGTTCGGAGGCGTCTTCGACGGCGACGGTTCCTGCGTATGACTACCAGAGCCAGGACCGGCGGCGGCGGTATCATCCTCTGGCTGGAGATGGGTCTGGCAGCGGCGGGAGGAGGATGACGCCGTTTTGGTGGACGGAGGATGGTTCGGCTGCTGGGGATGTGCCGCCTCAACGGGGCGACGATGATGGGGAGAGGGTGCGTTTGCTGGGTGGTAGGGGTGCAACAGGGGAGGTGAGGGGGCTTGTGAATGTGGTTGTGCATGGGGTTGTGCTGGCGATGCAGAGCGGCGTTGCGGTGGGTGTTTTGACGGTGTTTGTGTGGGTTGGGGTGTGGATGGATGATGATGGGGGTTTGAATGGTGTTTCTGGGGAGATGTGAGTGATGACTCTGGATATCTCCTTACTTTATGTGGTGAAGGGTGTTTGTTTGACGATGGATGCTGACGAAGATCTAGGTTACGCAGCATTCCATCCCTGACGACAACGGCCATCCTCATCCTCTCCTTCAGCACGCTCATCGTTCACGAGGTCTACCTCCTCTCTCCGGTCGTGCTGCTCTACCTACAGGCCGCCATCCTTGCGCTCGCCACCGTCGCCGCGACGAGCATGTGGGTGCGCTGCGTGCGGGAAGACAACGGTGTGGTTAAGTGCGTTTTGGTGAGCTGCGGGACGCTGCTGTGGGTGATGTGTGGGATTGCGTTTCTGAGGGCAGCGGTGGTGTGGAAGGTTATCAGCTCGAGGGAGGATGAAGGGGTTGGAGAGGAGGGGGGTGAGGAGGTTCAGGGGTATGCCACGCTTGAGGGGAGGTGAATATGGATGATGGGGGGAAGACTGGATGAGTGCGGGATTGATGCTTCACTTGCTGTTGATGGCCGTTTGAATTAAGTTCATGTTTATATTGAGTAGTGTCCATTTC